TCGGTACGTGAAAGATTCAATAAATCGAAAGCAGTTGCGTCTGATGTTTTCCTTGGAACATTTTCGAAAACACGACCGTATAATATTTTATTACACAGATAAATGTCTCCTGATAAAATTAAATATGAATGCTTAAAGAGACATTCAGTGGCTACGAAAAGTATCTGCTTTAATTATTTACATTTTATTTTCCAACGATGTGCTTTCTTATCGAACTTTTACATTTCATAATATCGAGTTTCTTCTATCGTACAAAAGTACCATTAAATGATATGAAATTTAATACACTCGAAGCTAATTAGTTAGCATGTAAATGTTACAATAAACATCGTGATGTGTAAATATATTTTGCAGCCACTGGAAATTAATGTTGACCTACGTATTATATTTTTTAACATGGTTCTTGAGAAAACAGGGAGTCAAGTAAACTTGACTGCAAAGAAAGTCAAGCAAACAAATATTACAAATATTAACATCGTACTTATTATAAATTTAAATACGTGAAGATTGAGGAAAGCATATGAGGAATATTTATAAGTCTAGGACTTTCCAAACGATACTACTAACTTCCAACAATGAGTACCCGTATAAGGAACGTCCTTGACGCTTTCACCTATTACTCTTTCTATTTGATATTCTAATGCGCTTTCGGCCTTCCTTAACCCTTGTACATTCCAGCTTTCCATCCCAGCGCGAGTGTATTGGAATTCGAAAAATGAGTAGGTGAAGACTTCAAGGACGCTTCAAGGTCGCCGATACTTTTATGAATAGCATCCAAGTTAGATTCAAAGCGGACGCGCGTATGTTGGTGTATGGAGTGTTTATTTGTAGGAACATAACTGACCTTGAAACCTCTTTGAGGCCTCCACCAGATAAACTCACACACTTGATTTTCTAACATCTCTTTAGTCACTGGAGATTCCGTTACTCCGAATTTTATTCTCAACGTCCTATTCTCGTGTCCTAGATATCGCTTAGATTTAGAAATTTTTTCAATTACTTGAGATCTCAATTCCAGAAACTGAAAATTTAAATTTAAATTTAAAGAAGAAATTTTGCCTTTGTTCGATATCTTAAGAAATGTGCAATCCGAATATATTTTTGTCCGAGTTAATTTGTGACTTGATGAACAGGAAATGGTTCTCCACACTTTACGCGACGAACGTGTAATTATAATCACATAAAGTAACGAATGAATGCGCATCTCCGGTGATTACGCCTCGATGGAACAGCAACTCGTTGATTCTAAATTGTCGATATTATGCAAATTGACGAGTTAGCTGTTTCATAAAAAATCGATCGACTTAACACAATTTACAATTACACGTGATATAATTCGGCCACATATTGGAAATCTTAATTTACCAGTGTATGATCAGCTCGAACTATCAGTTTGCAAAATTTAGTAATGAGCATTTAAACTTTCATAACAGCAGTGAAGAGAAACGAGTCAATCTTCATTCAAACAGTTAAAAATCCCTGTATTTATTTGACTGTTAAATATTTTCGTTTGACTTGAAATACTGTTTTCTAACTTGAAATAATTGTATTTTAAACGATCTCTGTAATTTGTTTTCTTTCCTTTTGGCTGAAAATGTTCCCGTAAGTTTCAATGATAATCCAATAATTTAACATCTGCAACTATTTCGTCATTTGGAAAGACCAGCAAAACCTTGCTACGTTATGTAACGTTGTTTCCCATTTTCTCATTTTTTTTTCATATTGATCTGCCGTATTAAATCCAAACCACTTAACGCGCATAATATCTGTATTTTATTCATATAATTATGCATCCTCCATTAGATATCCATTATTCAAATTATTATTTATTCCTTTGAATATCGTTCCCATTAAATATCCATTATCCAAATTGAAAAAAAAAAAAAAAGAAGAAGAAAAGATTCACGTAAACGTGACTTGGAAACATCAAAGGATCGCAACGACTGGAACGAAAAGAGGAAAATCTGATACGACAGTTAGCATCCGCTAGGAAGAATCATAAACGCGGCGACCCGGCGACGCGGCGCCGCAATATTCTGCATATTGTTGGATAACATCGCTAACGACGATGCGCGTTGAATTGGAGTACGTGTGCAGGTTGTACGCCGCGGCACGATGGAGCGAGCCGACTGGAATGATCGATGCGACGTCGATCGATCGTTGGACGATCGCTCGAAAATCGCAGAAACATCGGACACACACCGGTATCGCGGCCGAACGATCGAGTTCGTGCATCCGCCTACGCGTGTACCAGTTGCAGCCTTGGCCGACTGACGAGGCCGCGATTCTATTTTTTATTTCCCTCCGCTCGCTGTTGACGCGTCTTCTTTTTCACCTTTGAGCTCTCCTCGCCTCGAGACAACGAACACGTGGCGCAAAATAAAATCTCCGCCATGTGTAACTCCGTCGACCAATGACTAAAAATAACATTCGTTACTAGTAATCAAAAATGATAGCCATCATTCGTAAGCGAAAGTATGTATGTCTGTACGTGATCTACAATCTGAATGAAATAATCAGCACTTAATTACGAAGTTAGTAATTAGCGACATACGTGTTTACGTATCGAGGTTTTAAAACTGTACAAGAGTCCGCGCTCGTGCACACACGACGCCACGTTGAATTATTTATAAGAATCGAGGCTGACCACTCTCGATGGATGCCATCTCGACATAATATCCGGGCATTAAATGCTAATAATAGAATTCTGCTATTTCCCTCGTCTCTGAAGACACTGTCTTCCGATTTCCCAGGAGGCCTTACGCTGTCGCGTAATTGCAGCCACATTCCAGCTGGCTTTCGTCGATGGAACCTTATAGATACCTATCGTCCGGCAATTATTCACCTTGACGATTTTTGTCCGCCACAGTTGCAAGTCTATGTCGCGATGTCGTGTAGGAGACCATTTATTACACGACAACGTCACGAAGGTGAGAGATTTCTCGATCGTATTAGCACGGCATAGAACCTCTCTCTTTCGATGTCCAACCTTTTAGATCTTCGAGGTCTCATTGGGGACCAACAAAATATTGTCGAGCTCCAATAAACTCGCATATAGTTTACATATTTCTTTATCAGTTCAGTGTAACCTATATTATTCATGGGGATATTAAAACAACTTTTATAATGAAACGATACGTGATTGATTAGAAAATTTATTTATATTAATTTAAAAATTTTGAACGAGAACACTGAAC